TTTTCAATTACCCGAAAAATTCATTTTAATGTGCAGTTTTCAATTACCCGGTTTTAAATAAATTAAATGTACGGGCAGTTTTCAATTGCCCGATATTTTTATAATTTGAGCAGTTTTCAATTACCCGAAACATTAATTTTAATGTGCAATTTTTAATTTGCTGGTTTTAAGTAAATTAAATTTAAGGGCAGTTTTTAATTGTCCAATTTTGTTCGACTTTGAACAGTTTTCAGTTACCCCAAACATCTGTCATTTTTGACATTTGTAATTTTTGACATCCTTTTAATAGGTGTCAAATATGGTAAAAGACAAAATGCACGTGGAATAAACTAATTGGCTGCATGCATCGAAGCGAGGGCACGGGCGGTCTCGTGGGAAATATTGTTGACTTAAACGTGAAAAATATACCGTATATGATAGTTTTAGTTTTATTTTGTGCAAACCTGTATATATATATACATTTTTTTCTTTTAAAAATTCTTTATTTTTGGCAATATAAAATTGCTTTGATCAAGTCCATTTTAATAACAAAGACGCTGTTGTCATCGTATTTAAGGGTGCAGTGCCTGTGCAAGCAAATATTACAAATCCCCATTTATGCCATTCTCTCTTTTTAATTTTTACCCTGCTCGCTCAGCTATCTCTTACGCCCTAATAAATAATTTAAATTTAATCTTTGTGTTTCTCAGCTAAATTCAATTACTACGGGATTGTACAAACTGTATTATTTAAAGATTTCCCATCGACATGTCCTGATTAAATTAACAACAAATCGTATTTATTTACCCTGTATAAATGTTTTAATAAAAATGTCATTATATTGGAAAACAATCAAAGTTTGTTTCTAATAAAAAAAACGTTGAGCAGGTGTTAAAAATGTAATCAATCATCATTAAAATTGTTTACCTCATTCCAATTTAAGATGGTAAATTTGGTATCCGACCTAATTATAGTTTAGCTGGAACTCTTTGTTACCTCTTGGTCGCAATTACTATTGTTTGCAGTCATAAATCATTTAGGAGAGCGGGCAATTAAATCATAACATTAAACTCATTATTGATCTAAGCATTGACAGAAAAACGTTGGAAGTTAATTAAGGCAAGTTGACCCGTAAATTTAAAGAACATAAAGATAGTAAAATAATTTTGATAAATATCTAAAGTAAGTTAAGAGCGTTGAAATGAATATTCATGAAGGAGTCGCATGAAACAGTGTGGGACAGTAACCGAGTTGAACACGACACTTTGTATTAAAGACAAAACACAACAGAGCAATCATTATGATAATTTTTCGAGATTTTATCAATGAAATGTTTCTTACAGTGGATAACTGCATAATTTTTCCAGTAGTTACATCAATGACGAATTATTAAAATTATACTCCACCAACCATTTTATTTATACACTAATTAACAAAATACAAAAGTTATTTAATTTGATTAAATCATCAAAATATTTTTATACGGGGTGTATAAAAAGGCAATAAACTCTAAAATATATGTATCGTGAGGTAGGCACATGTACATTTTATCGCAGAAGACAATTTATAGCAAATATAAATATTTGTTTGTCTTCGATGCACTGCAAGAGTAGGTAATCTATGTAAAACTGCTAAGAAACACAGCTAATCCATTTACGGTTTAGGGCGAGGCGCTATCTTCTTTTTTAACGCTAATTAAGAGGGTGCTTAATTGAAATATATGCCAATGATACCTAGACGGGCCATTATCAAACAGCTTTATCAAAAAACTTAGTGCTTAATATTTTTTATGTGCGACAAAAATGTTTATTAGATTCTGCTAGTCATAATTCATACCGTATTTTCATTTTTGGTGTATACAACATCTCTATTAAAAAATTTAAAAAAGCAATTTGTGCAACATTTAAAAGTAATCTCGTTTTGTTGAAAAAATAATACGTACTAAAGGATATAAATAATGCATGGTCGAATTTGGGCAGTTTTCACTAACAAAAACATTAATTTGAATGTGCAATTTTGAGTTATTCGGTTTTAAATAAATTTAATGCCAGGGCAGTTTTCAATTACCTGAAACATCAATTTAATGTGCAGTTTTCAATTACCCGGTATTAAATAAATTAAATGTAAGGGCAGTTTTGAATTGCAATATTTTTTTTTAATTTGGGCAGCTTTCAATTACCCAAAACTATTTTAGTTTGTAATTTATAATTATTCGGTTTTAAATAAATTAAATGCCAGGGCAGTTTTTAATTACCCGAAACATTTTAATGTACAGTTTTTTGGTTTTAAATAAATTAAATGTAAGGGCATTTCTCAATTTCCCGATTTTAAATTTGGGAAGTTTTTACTCATCGAAACATTTATTTGAGTGTACAATGTTGAATTATTCGGTTTTAAATAAATTAAATGCCAGTGCAGTTTTCAATTACCCGAAACATCAATTTTAATGTGCAGTTTTTAATTATCTGGTTTTAAATAAATTAAATGTCAGGGCAGTTTTCAATTTTCCGATTTTGTTCTAATTTGGGCAGCTTTCTATTAACCAAAACATTAATTTTAGTTTGTTATTTATAATTAATGGGGATTAAATAAATTAAATGCCAACGCAGTTTTTAATCACCCAAAACATTGATTTTCATGAGCAATTTTCAATTATTCGGTTTTAAATAAACTAAATGCCAAGGCAGTTTTCAATTACCCAAAACATTAATTTTAATGTGCAATTTTCAATTATTCGTTTTTAAATAAATTAAGTGTACGGGCAGTTTTCAATTACCCGAAAAATTCATTTTAATGTGCAGTTTTCAATTACCCGGTTTTAAATAAATTAAATGTAAGGGCAGTTTTCAATTGCCCGATATTTTTATAATTTGAGCAGTTTTCAATTACCCTATTTTAGTTTGCAATTTTTTATTATCCAGTTTTAAATAAATTAAATGTAGGGGCAGTTTGAAATTGTCCGATTTGTGTATTAAAAAAATTGAAAAAGCAATGTTTGCAACATTTAAAAGTAATCTCGATTTCTTGAAAAAATATTACGTACATATGTACATAGGTAATTAAAGGGTATTAATAATGCATGGTCAAATTTGGGCAGTTTTCACTCACCCAAACATTAATTTGAATGTTCAATTTTGAATTATTCGGTTTTAAATAAATTTAATATCAGGGCAGTTTTCAATTACCTGAAACATTTATTTTAATGTGCATTTTTTAATTATTCGGTTTTAAATAAATTAAATGTAAGGGCAGTTTTCAATTACCCGAAAAATTCATTTTAATGTGCAGTTTTCAATAACCCGGTTTTAAATAAATTAAATGTAAGGGCAGTTTTCAATTGCCCAATTTTTTAAATTTGAACAGTTTTCAATTACCCCATTTTAGTTTGCAATTTTTTATTATCTGTCATTTTTGACATTTATTATTTTTTGACATCCTTTTGATAGGTGTCAAAGATGGCAGATGTCAAAAATAAAGTTAAAACATGTTGAATAATAATAATTACATTTGAAACAAAACGCACGTGGAATAAACTAATTTGCTGCATGCATCGAAGCGAGGTCACGGGCGGTCTCGTGGGGAATATTGTTGACTTTTGTTGATATCACAAAACGTTCATTTTGTGCCCACCTGTATATATACATTTTTGGGCGACAAAAATGTTTTCTTTGTAGGTATTAGATTCTGCAAGTACTCATGCCGTATTTTCATTTTTGGTGTATACAGCCTCGCATCATCTGTGTATTAAAAAATTTGAAAAAGCAATTTGTGCAACATTTAAAAGTAATCTCGTTTTGTTGAAAAAATAAAACCTAGGTACATAGGTAATTAAAGGGTATAAATAATGCATGGGGTCGTAAATTATTTTTTTCTACAGCTTAGAGCATTTATACGGTAATAAATTCCGTAAAAAATTAAATTAGAATGAAGAACAAAGTGAATAAATAAAAAGTATTTTCAGACAAAAATTTAAAAATCAAATAAAAAGAAATTACGAAGTACGCATCGTAAATAATAAATTTAACAAACGTGATTAAAAAGTATAGTAGTAGTGACATCTAGAGCATTTCGAGCTTTTGTTTTTCGTCCCGCGTATCCCAAAGGAAATTATAAAACACCTTCACTCCCATCTCCTTTCGCCCGCCTCTACTCTTCTACTATTGCATACACTTGCAAATTTACTTTATGCTATATGTTTGCTTTAAATTAAATTGCATTCGTTATTTTTTAATTCCCATTTTAACACGTACGCAATTGTACGGACCTCTGGGCAAAATCTTTAAAATAGTCGGGATTTTAACGAAAACCCCTATAAATTAAAATACATACATTTCAAAAAATAAGACGAAATTAGCGTCAAACTGACAGATACATAACCTCAATTATTTGTTAAACAAATATTAGAAACATTCCCCAACACCAAAACACAAGGTGCTTAACGATGTTGGCATCTTCAGAAGCGAAGTGTAACTAGTTACTGATGATCTAAATCTAGGAAATAACTTTTTTATATAAAGATCAATCTATTCTGTACTCTCTTTAAGAAATGATATTTCTAATATATTTCATGTGCATGTTTCTGTCTTATAATTGAAACTTTTACGAGGTGTAATAGTGGACATGGTAAATATACGGATTTAATTATTAAATGAATAATGTATTGAAATAGCGGGAAAAATTGAACACGACATCCATCGTTGAATTGCCTGGGTAATGCTATTCGGTCGTTGTCTTTTAAACCGGAAGTACTGACTCTTTGACGGTCAGAACTTGAACTAATGAGACCATAAAGATCCATATATTAAGATACACACACGATATCACCTCTAACAGCTAAACAGCAAGTGCATTGAATTTTTTTAAGTCAAGTATTAAAAGACAACTGTTTTAGGTTTTTTTAATGTAATTAAAAAATAATGTATATAGCCTTTATTTACTATTCTGTAAAACCAGAGTGACCCTTTTTAAAATGACTTAATACTAAAACTGAACAAAACTACGATAAACAAATTTATAAATATCTAATACGGTGGATATCTGCGATCGACCTCCGAATAAATTCTTCTTTCCGGATTTTTCTGGATCTCCTTAACATTCACGTCAGTGGAAACTTTTAAAGGATACGTGTCCTTACTCCTATCGTAACTGTCGTAACGTTTCGTCGAACGATATCGGTCGAGGCTGGGGTAGTATCTATTCTCGTATCTATCGCCGTAGTTGTATCTGTCCCTTAAATCTACATTTGGCGGTGTACGAGTTATATCGGGCAGGGTCGCATAGTAGATTATTCTTTTCGGCTTCGCATTGTATGATCTGTCACGGTCCGCGTAGTGGTTATCGTATCTATCGTAATAATCGTTTTGGCTATCGTATCTTGAATAATATGGATCATTTCTATAAACAAAATATTACTATCTTAAGCACGGTCTACAATTGTCTTACGTCAACCAATCACAGTCTGTTATTTGTTGACATAAGACGTAAGCCGGTATAAAACCAAAACGCTACCTGTAAGAATGTGGTGTTATTGGAGGGCTATAATGTCTGGAATATCTGGGTTGATAATAATCCATATCCCTAGTTTTGTCCGTGGATAAATCCCTGGATCTAGCTTCTCTTTCGTATGTTTTTGGAACATTTGATTCCAAGCGTCTTTGCGTGACAAAATGCACTCTTGGAGCTCTAACAGTTTCAGATGAAACTTGAGTGTTATCCTCATAATTGTCGCTACGCCTTACAGGATATAGCTGCTTGGTCCACTGCTCTTTAGTCCTATCCTCAAAATTTTTGTTCTCGGCATCACCAGATTTGTGCTCGCGTTTTAAACGAGAACTGTCACTATCAGCATCACTAAAACATTAATTGTCAATAAAATTTCTATTGTGGAGGATCCTTTATAACTAGATAATTTACCTGTTGGTGATTGTTGGGTTAGTATCGCTTTTGGCTTCCCTCTTAAATCTGATAAAATCATTTATAAGCAAATTATTACTTAAAGTAGAGTGTTCACTATCTAACCCTTTAACATTCCGTGTGGTTGTAGTCTCCAGTTCACTTATTTCCAAAGGTTTTCCTAGGTGTTTTTTAATAACCTCACTTAAAATACTATCTGGTAGAACAGTAGTTGTAATAGTAGTGGTATCTTCAGCACCCCTTTTTAATCTCCTTTGTTCCTCCAACAATCGAAACCCCCCAGGTCGAGGAATGTTTCTAAATCTTTCACTGACAGAATCGTCATTGGGTTGAAACTCGCTATTCAGCGACTTCATGTACCTGAAAAAATGCCCTTTAGGATCGTCTTCCCTTTGAAGTCTCGGCAACAGTTCCATATCCATATCGTTGTCACCATGCTTCAAACGCTCATAGTTCTCAATGGGGATATCCTCAATTTGGGCCTTCGCGTTAATAATAAATATGCCCAATATATAAATCGGCACCATGTTATCTAAAAAAGTACATAAAATACGATATATATGTGCCATCATGATCTTTTTTAATGCATTGACCCGCGATTTTGTCATTCCGGATGCTGAAGAATAAACCGGATGAATCTAACGGTCATGGGTTGGTATTTCGCACATACGTAATATTGTTATAAATTTACCAAGTTACTTAAGTTAAAAAATAATGTTTTTAGACTACTATAAAATAAATGTTATACTTATTGATATATTGAAATAATTGTATTGGTTAAACATTAATTTTAAACATGAGTTTTATTAATTTTTTTTTTCACTTGTGATAAATCTTAACTTCAAATCCTAAAAATAAATTAAAACAAATCATTGACTTACCTACCCGTTTGATAAATATAATTGATAGATAGGTTTTTGAACTACATTAATTGAGGTACAGAGATGCACTGAAAGCTTTTTACTTTATTATAGATTTTTATGTCATGCAAGGGTAACAATGAATAGAACAATAGACATTTTAAGCTTCAGCAAATATGTCTCTTCCACTATGTGTACAATAACATCCATATGATATCTTTTTAGAAGATGATAACATGAAATTGTGTATTTTTGAAAACGCTCGGGCAATTCTTTAAAGTAAAGGTGCCTGCTAAAATTATTTTGAAAATGGTTTTAATGGATACATTATGCAATTAAATGTTCGAATGTCCCTTAATATAATTATTATTACTCCTAGCCCTTATGGCCACTTATACCTTAAACTTAACTTAACTAGCTATTATTAGTTACTGAGTAGATCAGTCCCACTCCAATCATTGTTTAACTGACGCACATCTCCAACTGATATTATTAACCTATCCGTATATATAGTTATCAAGCGTGTGTAAGCAACGGTGAGAGGTACTGCAACTAAACTAATGAATATTCACTGGGAATGTTCTTGGATTGTGTTTGGAAGTTTTGGAGAATCATTCTATGGAATATAAATAGATGATATTCCTGAAATATAACCAATTTGTAGAAATTATTTTTTTTTTGAATATAAAGAACTTTCACTGGAAATGTTCTTAGATGGTGCTTGGAAGTTTTAGAGGATCATTCTATGGAATATTCCCAATGAATATTCCTAGAATGAAGCGGATTATTCCTAGAATATTTTCGAACCTTCATTGCAGTCTGGGTTTACAAATAAAAAAATGTAACATAGGTGAAACTGACTTTTAAACTCCACTCAGGAAGTTAAAAATAATACAAATTGTGTACTTTGGTGTAAATGTCAATATATAATAGTATAGTATACTACTATTTTCAATATTGAAATAAAATACTAGATACTGTGAGAACTAAATAAATACGTAATTGATTTGGTTTTGCAATTATTTAACAAAACAACGATACGCGACCTAGAATTAAACCGTTTTATTTAATGTATCACTAAAAAAACATTTCCAAAAATAATTTTGTTTGTTTTTAAATGCGTTGATTTTACTCTGATAAAAATTAAACTAATTGGAAATTTAATATCATCATTGCCCAAATTAATTCGCGCAAACCTACACATTTATTATTATAAGTAAAAAAATTATCATGCTTTATTAAATATCCAATTAATTTAATTTTTATCAAAATGAATTCATAGTAAGTCTGGACAGCCATTATCAATTTATCTCCATTTCCTGAGCCTACAATATTTGTAACTAGTGGTAACCAAAATGTTTTTTGTGTTAAAGTCTTCGTCACATCAATAAATTCAAAGCTGGGCGCAGAATTGTGCTCAGGCCTTGGCATTGACATTTTACTACGACATTTTACTACGTGTATAATAATATACTTCCTGTCACTTAAATATTGTTTATTTATTTAAATATTTTCTTGGGTACCACTGTTCCGAAAAATCTTTTCTAGCAAAACATTTCGAATCCTTTGGGACGCGTTGTAATACTATATCAAAGATTGTGTGCTAGGCAGAAGTTGACACGAGAACAAAAACATCAATTCGAACGAATTTTCAAATCTCCTGGGCACAAAACCATATGTGGTAAATGGCGACAGTACTAATTGCTGCACACACTAAAACAGACGTGTCGTCAAAAAGTTTTAGTTAGTCGACTAGTTAACACCGCAACATCAAGTAAGTTCAATATGAGAATAAAATCGATGTGAAATTTTTAATTTTTTGTTTTGTAGAATGTCGCCTATAGAATTCGACGATGACATTTTGGAGCCGGCGTCTGATTGGCTGTCGTTTTTGAATTTCCCGTTCGAAGAGACAACGAAGGATAGTGAAAATAGTTACAGTGATACTAGTGATTATGATTGTTCGGTTTTGACGGGGGATGATAAATTTTTGGACAGCATAGTAAAAGGGTTTTTCGATACTGATAACAACAAGGATGATTTTGCGAGTGTTTTTGCGGAGGGATCAGACTTGGACTTATACGCAGAAAGTAGCAACGTTGAGCAAATGTTCGATTTCGACAATATTTTCAACGATTTTCAAAACGAAGTTGAACCTGCCGGGGTAATAAGCATATTCCCGCATATGTACGAGGAAAAAAATCGCCGGCGACGCTCGTTGATATACGAATCCACATACAAACCGGACCGACGCTCATCGACGCCGAAAAACGACGCCCTATCCACCCACGACTACACGCAGAAAAAGGACGACGAAAAGTACTTTCCGTGTCCGATACAGAATTGTGATAAAATATACGCGAAATCTTCGCACTTGAAGGCGCATCTGCGCAGGCACAGCGGCGAGAAGCCGTTCATATGCAATTGGCAGAACTGCACGTGGAAATTTTCCAGGTCGGACGAGCTGGCCAGGCACAAACGATCGCATTCCGGGATAAAACCCTACAAGTGCGAGCTGTGCGAGAAAGCGTTCGCCAGATCCGACCACCTGTCCAAGCACAAGAAAGTACACAAGAAGAAAATGGCCCAATGCGGAAGTTACCTCATCAAGAAACGAAGTAGATATAGTTAGTTTATCAACCAAAACAATTCTAAATTATTTTTTATTTTAATAAATATTATGCCATATTTTTAATTGCCTACCAGGTTTTATTTAGTATATATAGTAATAGGTGTTTTGTTTTATCTACGTATGTTGTTAAATAATAAAAATACTTTAAAACCTTACGTCTTCATTTTTAATACTTTGAACCATTCCGATTTTATTAAATTTTTAGTGCGGCCCTCACTTAGGAATACTTATAATAATTCTTTAGATTATTAAAAAATAAGAGTTAAAAACCTTTTTTTAATTTTCATGTAACTTCCATTGTTGCATTCTTGAAGACTAACTTTTCAAGTTTTTTTTCACCTTCACAGTTTCCCTGTATAAGGAAATGAAAAGAGGAAAGTTAAAGTTGGAAACATTTTTTGTTACAATTGTAGGTTGAACTTACAATTTTAGGTTCAAGTTACAATTGTATATTGTAGTTTGAACCTACAATTTTAAGTTTAAGTTACAATTGTAACTTGAGCTTACAATTGTAAGTTCAACCTACAACCTACAACTGTAACTTGAACTTACAATTGTAAGTTTAATTTACAATTGTAGGATAAACCTTTTTTAATTTTCATGTAACTTCCATTGTTGCATTCTTGAAGACCAACTTTTCCAGTTTTTTTCACCTTCAAAGTTTCCCTGTATAAGGAAATAAAAAGAGAAGAGTTACAGTTGGAAACATTTTTTGGGTTTCATGTAAATTCCAATGTTGCTTTCTGGAAGACCAACTTTTCCAGTTTTTTTCACCTTCAAAGTTTTGCTAACCACCCTGTATAACGAAATGAATAGAGAAGATGAAGAAACACATTTTGTTTTTCATGTAACTTCCAATGTTCTTTAAAAGTAAAAAAAACTCTAAAATTTGGTCTTCATTTTTGTTTTTTTCACTTTTAAAGTTTCGCTACCCGTTCTGTATGAACTTTTTTTTTACCTTCAAAGTTTGCTTCATGAGGATATGAAAAGAGAAGAATGTTTGATAAATATATTTTTATTCAATAATTAGTAATGAAAAGGAACAATCAATGATGATGATAAATATTATTAAAGTAGGTACCATTATACAAAACTGGCTAAATTAAATATATAGAAAAATCCGGTCAAACTTGTAGCATATATATATGTACATATGGTGCGTATATCTAAGTAAGCTGCCCTACTGGTAAGTAAAACTAACACTATTTGAGAAATTATTTAGGTATTTAAGTGATAAAATTTTGTTCGTTTGGGTTAATGTCTACATAAAATTCTATAATAAAATAGGTAGGCACTATTAAGTATCACTTTTGATAAGTAAGAGAACTCCTTTTATGAATAGGCACCATTACATTAACATTAATATAAACCATTATGCTAAGGTTAGTAAAATTAAAATATATCTGGCAAGGATTCTCATTTATTGGATTTCAAGAATATAATAGGGGTAAATGTATATAAAATAGAGGGGTCATATAAAAATATTTTGGAGTATATATAGATTGTTTTCAAAGTTAACATTTTATGTAAAAATGTGGTAACTTTGAAATTCAACAACGACAACGAAAAATATTAATAGTGTCCATATTTAAAAATGTTAAATACAAATAATGATTTATGCCTTTATTTAAAGTTATAAAGCTAATCTATTTACAAATAATAAAGAATTAAAAAAATATGTACACATACTATAAACACAAAAATTTATAAAAATAAAATCAATATTCAGCTAATTAATATATTTTAAACATAAAAAAATGCTTTATTTTATACGAGTATATAAACCCAGTTCACCAACACACTTTACTTTAGAAATGGACATAATAAGTTTATCACAGTTCCGGGGATTTAATTTAAATCATTACTCAAGAGGCCCATAATCAGTCTAGCCTTCATCAAAACAAATTCAACAAAAAATAAATGAAACATTCTGGAAAATTTAAAAAACGCATAGTTACCCGAAATTCGTTATAAATTACTAACAAACCGATTGATGAACAGGGTGGGATGACACTAAAAAACACTAAATTATTTATTTAAAATAATTTTAGAGTAAGGGCTTAAAACCTAAAGCGTCCAAATGCACCGAACCACACCTCGTCAGTGTGGCGAAAAATACCATTGAATTAATGATTGCTCATAAAACAATGGGTAAAAAATACACAGGACTCGGGTGAACATATTTTTAGAGCTTTCTGTCAATTTGCTTTAAAGATACGAGGCGTAGAAGGGCCAACAAACATGTTACAAGTTTCTGGCAAAACTAAGTTTGATTTTTGCAATTTCTGTCCTACAATTGAATCGTGAGTTCAAGTCCAAAATTTAAAATTATTTTTATAGTTTGTGAAAATGTTTCAACTATTGTACAAAATTTGGTTGTATTTTATAAAATAGTTAAAATATCAAAAAAATGCATTTCAAACTATTTTTTAAATAATTTAAATTTTGGACTAAACCTAAAATTGTAACTTTAAGTTACAATTGTAAGTTTAACCTACAACCTACAATTGAAACTTGAACTTACAATTGTAAGTTCAACCTACAACCTACAATTGTAACTTAAACTTACAATTGTAAGTTCAAGTTACAACTGTAGCATAAACTTACAATTGTAACTTAAACTTAAAATTGTAAGTTCAACCTACAACCTACAATTGTAACTTGAACTTACAATTGTAGGTTCAAACTACAACATGCAATTGTAACTTGAACTTACAATTGTAAGTTCACCTACAACCTACAATTGTTACTTGAACTTACAATTGTAGATTCAAACTACAACATACAATTGCAACTGTAGCATAAACTTACAATTGTAACTTAAACTTAAAATTGTAAGTTGAACCTACAACCTACAATTGTAACTTGAACTTACAATGTAGGTTCAAACCACAACCTACAATTGTTACTTGAACTTAAAATTGTAGGTTCAAACTACAACCTACAATTGTAACTTGAAGTTGCAATTGTAAGTTCAACCTACCACCTACAATTTTAACTTGAACTTGAACAATTGTAGGTTCAACCTTCTGCGCCTTGGTACTCTGCAGTCCTGTGCAAGTATTTAAAACGGTTTAGTCATTTTTGCCTGATTTGGTATCGTACGACACGTAACCTCTCGACGTCATGACGGGCTGCGTCGAGGCCGCTACGTCGCCCACGCTGACGTACACGCCCTTGGGCGCCGGGGCGTCGAGGTGCGAGGACGAGGGCGCCATGCTGGGCGGCGACATTTGCGACCCGTCGGACGCCTGCACGTAATTCGGCGACGACGTCGCGCCCACCGGCGTCGCGGCGGCGGTGAGCAAATCGACTTGCGGTGCGGTCGTCGGCACGTTCTTAGCGGGCGCGCCGAACGCGTAACCTTTGGGCAGACGCACCTCGTCGTGCGACACGTAGCCGGGGTTTTTCGTTTTGAGCATTTCGCTCATTGTGACAGGTGGAGCGGGATCCAACCTGCCTGCGGTCATTATTGCGCCTCCGTGCTGCACGTACGGCGAACTGATCTTCAGCATTTCGTGCTCGCCCACCATACTGTATGGCGACGACAAAAAAGTCGGCTTCGAACCTGCCACAATATCTGCAACTAAAGCTTAACATCGTAAAAGTCTTCAGAAGCGAAGTGCAACTAAATCTAACTGCTAAATTTATACTAATCATAAGCTGACTGAACCGTTAAAGTACACTATGTTAGATTTGGTAGGACAGAGAAATCGAGTGTTACCCAACATATCTTGATGATGGTCATAGAATAGGATTTGACAACCTTAAACTTTTTAAGGAAGGTAGGGAACCAAATCTGCTAGATAGTTATGAAAGTTTATACATCCACAAGAATAGAAATAAATGTTTAAATAGCGATAACGGACTGGTACCCAACTCTAGTTCCTCTTTACGTGTTCACTGAAGCGGGTCCGGTCCACGGTTTAGTAAACTGTGTCGGTTAGCAGTTATATTTAGTCACACTTTGCTTCTGAAGATGCCAAAATCGTTGGCAAAAAGAACTTAATATTTTTTTATTGTAAAAGTTCCTTTAAAGTAACTTTGATACGATTTTTACATTCTTTAAAATGCTACGATTTTTTTTTAGCTTCCCAGTCCATACAAACGTCATTATCTCGGAAACTAAACAAAAAATCCAAGTCATAGTTTGAGGAGAAGGAAAGTTTTCCAGTCCATATACAAACGTCATTATCTCGAAAACTTAACAAAAAATAGCTGCGCATGCGCTGATAATACACTTACTTTTGGTGGGCACGTTTCTCTGGCGGAGCGAATTTTTCTCGTCGCTGACTTGAAGCTGATCAGTCGGCGACGGTTGATCGCGTTCCATGGACGGGGCGACTTTTTCGCTTTTCTCGCTCGCAGGAGCGGCGGTCTTTTTGTCGTCCAGCAGCCGCGTCCCTTCGTCGGTCGACGCCCGCTCGATCGTTTGCTCGTGATCTTCGTTGTGTTTCGCCTTCGGCAATTTTTGCACCAACCCGTCCGGCAGTTCCACCTTCACGTCGCTCATGTTCAGCAGTTTCACGTAGATCCTGAAAGAATTTCATTTCCTTTGCTATCGGCCGCTATCGGCTTTACGAAATTAGTTACTTACCATTTTATGAAGTAAATTGTGGGGAAAGACAGAACCACAGCACCAACCAGGATGATATAGAAGATGTAGGTTCCTTTACCATGACAATAATTATTTAATTCGTCGCTGAATTCGCCGTAAAGGCTCGTACCATTAAAAATGTTGACGGCTCTTACTGCGACTTTGAACTCGTTTCCCTTTTCCTCGCAATTTTCAGTGTATATTTGTGCTGTAAACATTATTATATTAATAACCGCGTTAAAAATTTAAACCGAATTACTCACAGTGTGTTTTCTTTACTTCTTCATTGCCACTACTATCTTTAATTCGAACTTCATAATGGTCAATTTCACCTCTTGGAGGGTTAGGTCGTTCCCACACCATGGATATTGACGTACTATTACTACCATTAGACACAGGTGTTTTAATTTTCGCTGGAACTATAACAACCGAACATAAGCAATAACTAAAAAATGTTCAGTTTGTGTAACTCACCGCCCTTTAAAGTTGTTAGGACTAGATGGTTGGATGGCTCTGAGCAAAAAGTGGTGCAAGTGCTAGCGTAAATTGTATAATTCGAGTAACTCTGTAAATTTTCCAATTTGTATGATGTCTCGTTATCGACTTTTTCCGCCCAAGGGACGGTGGTGCCATTATCGATGTGAATTAGAAAGTACTTTAAAACCCCGTTGATGGGGAAATCAGGAGAATTCCATTTAATAGAGATCGAGGAATTTGTTATTTCAGTGGCGAATATTTTCAGTATCCCATCGGGCGCTGCCTCGTCCGTCGTGTTCAAAAGCGGTTTGTCGATTTGCAAACGGCTTGTGCTGTTAGAGGGTTGTATGGATACATTTATCAAGTATGTCGTGTATGGCACCAGACCTGTAATCTTTCCTTGGGTTGCTGGACCTTTTATTACGTAATCAGTCATATTATCTTAAAAGAAAACCATTTATTAGTTTCGGTTTTAAATCGTTAAAATGTTTTTCTTTTGTAAATGAATGGTTTTTACTAAAAAGAATCCAAAATGAGGTGTTTACAAATTTAGAAAAGTAAATCCACGGCCAGGCCTAATCCATATAATAAGACCTGAAGCAATATAATCAAGGTAAACCTATTATTTTTAAGTTTAAAAACTCAATGTTTACATAAAAAGATATCTCTGATATATAGAAAAAAACAAAATATCTTGAAATTTTCATTGATTCCAAACTTAAGATAGTTGTCCAGAGATAGTTACATACAAAAGTTGAACAATTTTGTGTGGTCAATGAAACAACTGCCTAAATCCAAAAATAGAGGAACAAAGCACTTCAAACCACAACTTTCAAGAAGAAAGGTATTGGCACAAATAAAGCTACCAACGTTGTTCGGTTGTGGTTGGACATTTTTTAAACCTGCTCCAAGAAATCTGGAGATAGCTCAGTTGTCGGCCAAACTTCCAAGTCACAATTCCATGCCAACGGCAGAATCTTACGCGATACTTCAAGCTCCTGACAGAAGCGACAAAAGGAAAAACCTTCACGTACATTCGAAGCTACTGAACCTGGAAAAAAGAGAAGCCAAGTTCTGCTCCCCAGCCATAGAAATATTTCTGGCAAAGAGGGGCGGATAGGCTCGCTAATCAGGGAGGCACAGACTGTGAATAGACCCCAATGGCAAGACCTAATAAAACTCATAAAACAGAAAACACAAGGTCCGGTAGATTCTTCTCCACCCACACATATTAGACAGAAGACACACCAATACATTTCTAAGACTAAGAAGTGGACACTGCCTCACAAAAACCCTTCCCTTTAAAATGGGCTTAACAAACTAACATACAAATGCACTTTACCAGAGATTAAGTGGGAAATACACTAACCCCATCAACCTCTCAACGATTTTAAATAATTCATCCCATGAATAGAACCTGCAATGCTTTTATTTTTTTGCTTTGCATGGTATTAGATATTAACCCAATATTCCTTATTTTATTATCTATATCCAACAAATTATCCTGGATTACGAAAATGGTTTTTCCTAACTGAGGCCAACAATAAGGAAGGAGGAGAAGAAGAGATAGCAAAAACAACTTAGATTTTAATACCAACCACCAAAGAACCTTTTATCCTTCGAAAACAGATTGTAAATAAATATTAAGAAGAATATCCACATGTGATAAAAAACACTGTCTTACCTTTGCAGTCAGAGGAGCTTGGACTTTTGATGCGACAATAGGAGAGGATGTAATCTTCATTGGGTGAAGGCTGGCTACATTCCCAACTCCATTCAATGGTTATAGACCTGGCTTCAACTTTGCTGATGTGCACCTTGTTCATTTTGGACTTTCCATTGTTTAATTTGGTGCAACTGGCCCATTCGATGCCGCTACTGCTGTGCAGCGAATTCGCTGCTATTCCGATCTGATAGTTTTTCGATGTCATTGTATAGTTTAGGTGTGTCGCGTTGGGTGGGACGTTTATCCAGTCAATGTTGCCTTTGCATTGATGGGGGCGATCGCGTTTCGAATCGCAGAAGAATATTGTGTAGTTTGTGAGACGACTCCTCTGTGGTGGGTTCCAAGACAGTTCCAAGTAATCTTGGTGCTCTATACGGATTACCTCTGTAGGTTTATCAATCCCTAAAAGTTATTTGTTAGACTATATCTTGCATGACTTGTTTTACTTACTTCTAGTATGTGGAGGTATGTACAGCGTGGATTTTTCTTTGGACAAGCCAATTTTATTCTTGGACCAAATGTTGATTTTGTAGCTATTTTCTTTCGGCAAATTTTGGAACTCATGGTAGTTACTAGTGGTCTCGAATTTCTTAACGTGCCCTTCGACTTCCACCTCGTATTTAAACTCATTGCCATTTTGGAGTTCTTTGGCTAGTTGTTCCCAATACACAAAGAACTTTCCATCGGGGTTTGATATTTCAAAGCTTCCCATGTTTATTGCTGGAGGCCGAGCGGGAACTATTAAGAAAAAACATGTTAACGGGGAACCTACAGATTTGATCAGGCACTGATCAAGCTCGGCTCGGGTCTTGGCACAATTCCGCGCGCACGAAAGTTTGTTCAGTTTTGCAGACCTGTATTTGTTAAATAATGTAAGCAAAAGGAGTTCATCTTTTTTTACTTACTTGTGCTTTCGGTTATCCCGAATATGGAAGCGTTTTTGGACCAATAGCTGTCGTTAGCAATGGCGGATTTCATTGAAACGGCGATCTCGCAAATGCTGTTCGGGAAAGGTATTCCAGTCAAATTGAACTCGATGACTTTTTCGTGGGTTGATGACTTATTGCCGCCCAGTTGCCAGTCATCGCTTTTGCACGTGTAGAGGATTTTGTGGTCCAAGCCGGGGGTAAAGGACCGCATCGACAGTGGCACCCTCCATTGTAGATAAAAAGAGTTGGTCGTCAATTGTGTGACAGTCAAGTTTTCCGGCGGGTTCGGTATAACGATTTTGAAGTTCTCGACGGTGAAATTGTTGGTTATGTTGCCGAAAATGTTCTCCATATGAACGCCGATGGCGAAGATCGAGTTCGATCTCCTGTACTGAGGATTTGTGTTTTGATCGAGGATCATGATTCTCCTCTGCCCCCTTTCTTTGATGCCATTAAACTCGTATTGCCCTCTAGGGTAAATAAGCCTCACAGTTTCGTTAGTTTTGACGTAGGTTTGTGAGACAGTCCACGAGCAGTTTAACGCATCCAAATTGTAGCTGGTGCATTCGAAATCGGTTATGTTTTCAGGGGCGCAACCCACCATAACCGAATTCATGCAAACAAATTGTTCCTTATCATCTGTACCGTTTTTTAAGTTGCAAATGAAATTTGAGTCCTGCTTTTCTACCCTCTCTATATACAATTCTATGCTTGTTTCATTTATTTTTCTCACCTGTTTACAAATACATTTTAATTAGGAAACGTCATTTAAGGTCAACACAATTTTCATCTTATTTGTATTGATTTTTATAATCTATCTTAGTTATATTGGGTTTCCCAAGTTTGTAAATTTAGATTTAATATTTTCTTTAATACATCCCAAGATATAGGAGCCAAATTTAGTATGCATTTACAAAAAAAGAAATATAACACTACATAAGTACATCTAAAGACTCCATAATCAGAAAAAATAGTCACCTGGTTTAATATTAAAAACAAAAACACTACAAAACAAATACACTGCCCGTCAAAATTAACGCATAATAAGTAAAAAAATTCACTCCAAAACGCGTTTACCAATCTTTATGAAATTTTGTATAAAAATACTTCAACTTATATCTCAGTTTACGTGTTCGAGGGTTTTTCAAAAAAATATTTTTTAAAGCCCATTAATTAAATAATAAAAAAAAACGTTCTAAAAATAACTCTTAGAGAATCTTTTTTTTAAGTAAATTAAAAATATGGTGTTAAAGACCGTATTTTTGTTAGTATACCCTAAAAATTTTGTGCAAATCAAACGAACAGTAACAAAGATACAGCGCTTCAAAGTCGTCAAAAATGACCATTTTTCAGCAAAATTATCAAAAAGGGGTAATTTTTACCGACTTTGAAGCGCTGTATCTTTGTTACTGTTTTTTTGATTTGTACAAAATTTGTAGGATATACTAACAAAAATACGGTCTTTAACACCATATTTTTACTAATTTACTTTAATTCTCTAAAAGTTATTTTAAGAACGTTTTTTTTATTAATTAATTAAAGGGCTTTAAAAATATTTTTTTGAAAAAACCTCACACACGTAAACTGAGATATAAGTTGAAGTTTTTTTATACAAAATTTCATAAAGATTGGTAAAGGCGTTTTAGAGTTAGAATTTTTTTACTTATTATGCTTTAATTTTGACGGGCAGTGTATAAAAAGTAAATATTTGGACATGAGTCAATAAGAACTTTTTAGTTAAAATGACTAAAATAGCTACAACTAAGAACTACTGAACAAATTAAATTACCCAGAATAATTTCTTACGTCCAAGATATTATATCTTTTAAAATAATGTGTAACATTTAATTTCTAATAAAACAAATATATTTTGAAATCTGCACCTTCTTTACAATAAAAAAAATATTGTAGAAAAATAAATTTCAGTAAATTCTGTAAAAGTAATAATATTAGTTTAAGAGTTACTTACCAGACTGGTAAGGTCGTCAGTTCCTCTTTTAAAAGTAAGTATTTCATCCCCTTTAAGAGGTTTTTTATAATAACAAGTTATGTTTAAGGAATTTCCATGTTCGATTACTATATCCCCATGAGGTATTGTATCTACAAAGCAAAAACAAAAAACCCGAGTTATAGTGAAACAAATATGCATAATAGTTGACTATATACTCACATCCATCACTTTTTACTGGTCCACACTTCTCTTGTAGAGACAGTGATATTAATATTGCAAATATAATTGCTATACATTGATTTTTCATTTTAATTGTTTGTTTTAAATGTCTAAAAAAAAACACATTGGATTAGAACACAAAAATTTTAAATTATTTCATTTTATAATAAACTGTTATCTGTTAATAGATAGTATTTCAAAGAAGACATTTAATTTAATATTGAAGCTATAAATAATTTCTTATAACTGCCAAGATACTTTCATAATAAAAATAAATATTTTGATTCTCGGAATTATCTCCCATAAATTTTAATGATAAAAATGTATTAACGTAAAATATCAATCTAGCAATTGCTTTAATAAGAAAACACTTTGCAAATTGCAAATAAATCATTTTTACAATAAAATATTAAGTAACTTACTTATGTAAATAGTATAATGAACCATTCTGTAAAAACTTAATACCAGGAATTCACAATACGTAGTCGTTTGCTATATAAAAGTATTTGTAGCCATTATTGCACCTTTACCGAACTTTAACAATGCACCAACTAATAAAAACACTATTATTACTATATTTACACGTTATTTGCTATATTTCCACCTGTAAAAACTTAATTAGGCATTAATTTGGATAAAATAACATGTCGTAGACCCAACCTCGACGTTATCTATAAAACCTGACAGAGGGCGCTCTCGTATTGTGACGTTGCCATTTAGATTTTGGCGGCATCTCCAAAAAAGTCGAAATAATAAATTATTTAAGTTTGATATAAATTAATAATCTTTATACAACTTGACGTTTTAAATTTAAATAATAAAAAAAAGTTTATTCGTCTCAAAAAACTAAAAGGTTTGCGGAGAGGCCCCTCTAAATAATATCTTTATTCCTGAAATAAAAACAACAATCCGATAACGCAGCGTTTCGGTGTTTTTTCGATAAACTTGATTCGAGGAAAAATTCTACCAAATAAAACATTTACTTGTTTATTATTTTAAAAAGTGAAGAAATTGGTATTTTTATTTTTTAAAATAAAATAAAAATACTACTTATCTTATTAATTTTGTTTACAAATTTTAAAGGCTTATCAATTATTTTAATTGTGTGGATGTGTAGACTTCGGTTTTAAAAATAATTAGGTATGCCTCAATAAATTCAAGTAGATTTAATTTAGTAAATAGATAAAGTTATAATAAATGTAGAAATTTTTTCTCGGAAATGAAGATATCGCTTTAGATACATATAGGTATACATACATACATATAGGAGCATAAATTTTACGCAGCATCAAGATAAAAAACTTTATTAAATTTAATTTTTTTTGAAGTATTTTCTACAGTATTATACATTTTAATAGCCTTTATAGGTATATAATATTTTGTGTGATTCAAGTGATTTTAGAAGAACTTAATTATAAATATTATATAATAGTAGTTCCCTTTATTCTTATTCTTAGTAGACTTATCTACTAAAAGACAGAGGGCGTCCTACCTTTCTGACGTCACATACTTGCGTGTGACGTCAGTTTCTGCGGTTTGTTCAAAACAAAAAATAATTTAATTACTCAATATATTGACACTATAGTTGACAGTAAAATGTATTAAATGCTCTTTATCTTTTAAACTATACATTTTATTGCATTAATCCATATTATTTTTTTTTGTAGAAAATAGAATTTCCTATAAAAGTTTTATTTCCCTTTTACCTGTAACTTCAACCGTTTTGCCGTAAAACAACATAGGACTAATTAATTTTTCAATATTTGACAGTACAATTTATTAAATGCTCTATATCTTTTAAACAATGCATTTTATTGCAGCAATACATAAGACCTTTTTTGTAAGAAATTGAATTTTATATAAAATTTTGTATTTACTTTTTACCTGTACCATTAACCGTTTTGCCGTAAATCAACATAGAACTAATTAATTTATCAATATTTGACAGTACAATTTATTAAATGATCTACATCTTTTAAACAATGCATTTTATTGCATTATTTCAAAAGACCTTTTTTGTAATAGATTGAATTTTCTATAAAATTTTTATTTACTCTTTACCTGTAACTTTAACCGTTTTGCCGTAAAACAACATAGGACCAATTAGTTTATCAATATTTGAAACTTAAATTTATTAAATGAAATATATCTTTTAAACAATGCATTTTATTGCATCAATGCATAAAACCTTTTTTGTAAGAAATCGAATTTTCCATGAAATTTATATTTACTTTTTACCTGTACCATTAACCATTTTGCCGTAAATCAACATAGGACTAATTAATTTATCAATATTTGACAGTACAATTTATTAAATGATCTATATCTTTTAAACTATGCATTTTATTGCATTATTTCAAAAGACCTTTTTTGTAATAAATTAAATTTTCTATAAAATTTTTATTTACTCTTTACCTGTAACTTTAACCGTTTTGCCGTAAAACAACATAGGACCAATTAGTTTATCAATATTTGACACTTAAATTTATTAAATGAAATATATCTTTTAAACAATGCATTTTATTGCATCAATGCATAAAACCTTTTTTGTAAGAAATTTAATTTTCCATAAAATTTATATTTACTTTTTACCTGTACCATTAACCGTTTTGCCGTAAATCAACATAGGACTAATTAATTTATCAATATTTGACAGTATAATTTATTAAATGCTCTATATCTTTTAAACAATGCATTGTGTTTACTATTTACCTGTAATTTTAACCGTTTTGCCGTAAAACAACATAGGACTAATTAATTTATCAATATTTTACAGTAGGTATAATTTATTAAATGCTCGATATCTTTTAAACAATGCATTTTATTGCATCAATGCATAGGACCTTTTGTGTAAGAAATTAAATGCCGTAAAATCCAAAAATACTGTTATTAAAAATATTACTTCGGTGAATAAATATATGAATTGCAGTAAAATTGTTCTTAAAAAAAATAAGCCAACAATGCATCAAGAAAGTTATAATACCTAATAAATTGCGATTTAAATAATGTACAATATTCTTAAATAACTTTAATTTGTTACCAACAAAAATCCTTTAAAATATTATTTAATTTTAAACTAGATTAAATCAAATCATTTTATTTTTACAGTGCATTTTTATTATAATTATTGCGGCAGTAGGTATCTTAAATTTAAACGTTTTTCTTAATGATTTTATTCTAATTGAAATTTTAACTTTTTCTTTCTTCTTTTAGTTCCACTCTTACTTCCTAAGAAGTCCCAGTTAATGGCTTGTGCGGGTTTGGGGTAGGAACGGACCGCGGGCTTAAACTCCCCTTCGAAGGACTAATACCTATACAATAACGAAACCTTGGTTTGTAGTCAGCATTACTGACCGTCGGCGGTTATAATTATTTAGTTAGTTGAGGTGTGATTTTGAAGTAAAAGAGAAGATAAGTCTGTTTTTAATTTTTTATTGTTGTTGAAATAGAGTTCACAGATCAAATTTGTCAAAAAATAAAATTCAGTATTAGAACTCCAGTAGTTTTATTGGAAATTTAAAACATAATATATTGTATAAAAGTTATAAACGGAGGTTTTCATAAGTTGTAACAAAACTACTTCTTCTTGTTGTTCTTGGTGTCGCCGGCGACGGTCAATTGTGTGACAGTCAAGTTTTAACGATTTTGAAGTTCTCGACTTTGAAATTGTTGGTTATGTTGCCGAAAATGTTCTCCATATGAACGCGGATGGCGAAGTTCGAGTTCGATCTCCTGTACTGCGGATTTGTGTTTTCATCGAGGATCATGATTCTCCTCTGTCCCCTTTTTGTAATGCCATTAAACTCGTATTGCCCTCTAGGGAAAATAAGCCTCACAGTTTCGTTAGTTTCGACGTAGGTATGTTTGACAGTCCACGAGCAGCTTAACATATCCAAATTGTTGGTGCATTCAAAATCGGTTATGTTTTCAGGGGCGGAACCCACCAAAACCGAATTCATGCAAACAAATTGTTCCTTACCATCTGTAACGTTTTTTAAGTTGCAAATAAAAGTTGATTCCTGCTTTTCTACCCTCTCTATATACAATTCTATGCTTGTTTCATTTATTTTTCTCACCTGTTTACAAATACATTTTAATTAGGAAACGTCATTCAAGGTCAACACAATTTTCATCTTATTTGTATTGATTTTTATAATCTATCTTAGTTATATTTGGTTTCCCAAGTTTGTAAATTTAGATTTAATATTTTCTTTAATACATCCCAAGATAAAGGAGCCAAATTTAGTATGCATTTACAAAAAAAGAAATATAACACTACATACATAGGTACCTACATCTACATTCTACTCAATGATCAGAAAAAATAGTCACCTGGTTTAATATTAAAAACAAAAACACTACAAAACAAATACACTGCCCGTCAAAATTAACGCATAATAAGTAAAAAAATTCTAACTCTAAAACGCCTTTAGCAATCTTTATGAAATTTTGTATAAAAAATACTTCAACTTACATCTCAGTTTGCGTGTTTGAGGGTTTTTCAAAAAAATATTTTTAAAGCCCTTTATTTAAATAATAAAAAAAACGTTCTAAAAATAATTTTTAGAGAATTTTTTTTAAGTAGGTACCTAAATTAAAAATGTGGTGTTAAAGACCGTATTTGTTAAAAATTTTGTGCAAATCAAACGAACAGTAACAAAGATACAGCGCTTCAAAGTCGTCAAAAATGACCATTGTTCAGCAAAATAATCAAAAAGGGGTAATTTTTACCGACTTTGAAGCGCTGTATCTTTTTTACTGTTCGATTGATTTGTACAAAATTTGTAGGGTGTACTAACAAAAATACGGTCTTTAACACCATATTTTTAATTTACTTTAATTCTCTAAAAGTTATTTTTAGAACGTTTTTTTTGTTAATTAATTAAAGGGCTTTAAAATTTTTTTTTTTTGAAAAAACCTCAAACACGTAAACTGAGATTTAAGTTGAAGTTTTTTTATACAAAATTTCATAAAGATTGGTAAAGGCGTTTTAGAGTTAGAATTTTTTACTTATTATGCATTAATTTTGACAAGCAGTGTATAAAAAGTAAATATTTGGACATGAGTCAATAAGAACTTTTTAGTTAA